GGACTTATTGATATCGGGGTCGGATTCTGATTTCGGAAATTGGAGTAGGTCCGTGGTGTCATTTATGACTTGTGTGCAAAATGCGGGGTCAATCGGACGTGATTTGATAGGTTTCGGCGTCATTTGTAGAAGTTGGAAATTCCTTAGTTCATTAGGCTTGAATCTATGTGCGATTCGTATTTTTGATGTTGTTTGAGGTGGTTTGAGGGCTCGAATAAGTTTGTATCATGTTTTATGACTTGTCGGTATGTTTGGTTGAGGTCCCGAGGGCTTCGGGCTGATTTCGGCTGATTAACTGATCGAAATTTGAACATGGTGCATTGCTGAAGCAGGAGCCCTTCTGGTGTGATTGCACCTACGAGGGATTGGCCGCAGGTGCGATGCTGCCGATGCTGATGGATGTGCACAGGTGATGAGATGGGCTGGCCTGGGCAAGGCGCAGGTGCGAAGGGTTGACCGCATCTGCGAGCCAGCAGGTGCGAGCAAGGCTCCGTAGATGCGGTATTGAGAGAGGAGGTCTGATTTTGCAGAAGCGAAAAGAAGGCCGTAGAAGCGCCTCCAGTGGTGCGGACCCTGGGACGCAGATGCGGGCCTGGAGGGGTAAGTGAATTCTGCAGAAGCGGTGGATTTAGTGCATAAGCGGGTACGCTGGTGTGAAAAGCTTGGCAGTGTTTTAAAATCAAGGGTTCAGAGATTTTTTCACCATTTGCAACATTTCAAGCTTGGTCTAAGACGATTTTGCGATGGCTTTCCAGGGAATTCTTGAGGTAAGCCTCCTGTGCTTATTTTTATTCAATAAACGTGGTTCCCCAATGATTTTCCCACCCAGATTGTATGGTTTTGAGGTGAAATTTGGGGGTTTGAGGTTAGGAATTTGGAGAGTTAATTGGGGGGATTTAAGTGGTGATTTGGTGTCGGATTTTGATGAATTATGTATGGTTAGACTCGTGGTTGAATGGGCTTTCAGGTTTTGTGACTTTTGTTAGATTTCTAGACGTGGCCCCCAGGACCGGCTTAGAGCCGATTTTGGATTTTGGATTTATAATCTCGTATTTTCTTGCAAAATTTATTCCTTTAGCCCGTGTTGATTGTATGATGTTGTTGTGGTTAGATACAAGGCATTTGGAGGTCGATTCGCGAGGAAAAGGTGTGCTGGAATAGAGATTTCCTTGGATTGAGGTAAGTAACAGTTCTAAATCTTGTTCTGAGGGTATGAAACCCCGTATTATGTGTTTGTGATTGGTTTTGGAGATGACGCATATGCTAGGTGACGGGCGTATGGGCGTGCACCGTAGGAATAGTGACTTGGTCCATTCCATGGAACTGTGAAGTTGAATAACTTGTTGTTAGCTATATGCTCTCCATGTGTTATAGAAATTTGACTGCAAATCATGTTCGAAATCATGTTTAGGATATGTGTTGGTACATTTGGGACCCACAGAGGATGTGTTACATGTTGATTTACCTGCTAATTGCTGTTTGTACTCGGTCTCAGTTTTACTTGCATATCATATCTCAGTCTCTATTATTCCTTGTTGATACATCATATCATTGTTGCTTGGGTTGATTCTTCATGATTTCTGAGAGCCCGAGAGACTACAGAGGTTGATGACTAAGTGAGGCTGAGGGCCTGATTGTGAGGATATTTATGGGATCGGGCTGCACGCTGCAACATGTTTCATTGATTTATACCATGATTGACTTGATATAGAGCTTGGGTTGCAGGCGCCCCTTCAGAGTCTGTACATACCCCTAGTGAGCGCAGGTACCTACTGAGTGCGAGTGCCAAGTGCCGCGCGACTGAGAGGAATGAGTGACGGTGAGGAATGAGTGACTGTGAGGAATGCGTGATTGTAAGGTTGGAGTGAATGGGAGGACTGAGTGACTGTTTCTCTGAGAGGATGCATTTGATTTCTTTATTGTTTCACTTAGCTGCCATATATCACTGTCTGAAATTTTTGAGAGATATTACATCCGGTTTTACTTGAACTTGACATGTATAAACTGATTTGACCTAAATTTCCGTATTTGAAAGCATGCACATTTTTCCTTTGATAGGACTACTGAAATTGAACTATAACTATGTAGCTCGTCACTGTCTTCAATTCTTTATTTAGTCTTGTTACTTATTGAGTTTGTTGTACTCATGCTACACCCTGCACTTCGTGTGAAGATCCAGGTGTTTCCGTACATGGTGGGTGTTGATACTCAGCGCCGTTGACGCTTTGGAGGCTTTGAGGTAGCTGCCCGACGTTTGCAGACTTTATTTCTCCTTCCCTATCTTTCCTTTTATTGTGTTTAGTTTCAGACCATCTTACACAATGTATTCCAGACTTGTGATATTTAGATGCTCATGTACTCTGTGACACCCAGATTTGGTAGTTGTTTTTCCGCGTTGTGTTTTGGGATCTTTCTATAATGTTTATGAGAAGTTGCAATTTAAACTGCTTTAAATCCATTTTTGTTAAAAGTATTAGAGTTATTCGTAAATGTCAGCTTGCCTAGTACCACATTAGGCGCCATCACGACAAGTTAGGATTTTGGGTCGTGACACGCAGAAGGGAAAAGTGTCATGGTGATTTACCTAGGCATGAAGGAACGAGGAATTGACTGTTGAAGCGCGAAAAGCCATCGGTCAAAGCCCTAATGTCCAAAGGTCATTTCATTTGACGTCTCGACATAAATTAATAATGATGAAGCCAGATATTATTTCCACGCCTGCTTAGATTTGAAAGCACAAAGCCAAAACGAATGAAATCCAAAGTCATTGTTTTAGACCTAGGGTTTTGATTTGGGATTTTGAATTATAATGGCAAAATAGGAAATATTCAAGCGAGAATCACGGCTAACAGGGACAGAGGAGATGATTTAGGCTCGATTGAGGTGACCTTGCACTAATTTGTGCAAGGTTCTTTGGATTGATAGGAGTACACTGTTGAGAGAATAGGGAGAGAAAGAAGAAAGGGAAGGCGTTCGTTTAGGTGGAAATGAGTAGGGTTTTGGGGGTAATCTTTGGGTTAAAAATGGGAGATGGCTTCTGGGCCGTTGGATCATTTGATCAACAGCCCTGATAATTTAGGGTATAATTTTTGATAAAAATGATTAGTAGAAAAAAAGCGGACCGTTGGATCTGTATGATCCAACGGTTGGGATGGGATTTGCTAAAGGGTTTAAAAATAAAAGGAAGAAACAAGATTAAGCGTGGACCGTAGATGAGTTGGATCAACGGTCCAGATCCATTGTGTTTTCTCTATGAGTGAAGAGGACAGGTGACGTGGCACTATACTATTGGTTCATATGGGTAGGGGTGGATCACAACGTGGACTGGAGAGGGGTTTTGGACTGGGTCAGATGAAGGATTGGGCCAACGTTTGGGCCAATTTTAATTTAAAGAATAGCCATTTCGAGTTTGATTGGGTCTTTGCAATTGTAGCCATTTAGTCTTTTAACCTTTAAAAATTAATTGAAATTAAACTTAATTAATTCTAATTAAATGTGATAGAAAATCTAATTATCAAATACACTGCGAATTATTGTAATTAACTAATTATTTATTAAATACTTTATTTTCTAAATTATGAAAGCTAATTTCGGATCAATTCAATAATAAACGAGTTAATTAAAAATCAAAGGTTAATTTATTAAATTAATTATAAAACTTGTGTAACCAAATATAGAGGTTATTTTAATTATTTCAAAATAGTAAGTATACTTTATTTTTTGACAAATAATACCGAATTATTAATTTAACACTATTAATTACCTATTTACAGTATATTTGTATAAAAATAATTATTATTAATTAGAAAATATTTTCAACATATTTATTACAAATTATTAAGTATAAATAATTTAATTTTAAAAGGGAGGGTCAAAATTAGTCGTCAACACATTCCAATTGGAAGGTAACACTTTCCCGTCCAGGGTTTTCCAACTAGTATGCTCCTTTTCCAGCAATGCCTAGGACTCGATGTGGTCCTTCCCAACTTGGACCTAATTTCCCTGCATTCCCATACTTGTTTTGGATGTCGTTTTATAAGCCCATATACCCCTAAAAGCACTTCAGGCCACCTGCCTTTTACTGCTTCCACACACTTCTTCATATTGTTGACAATTATCTTATTTGTCGACTCTGCTTGCCCATTAGCTACGAGACGATATTGTGTTGACGTTATTCTCTTGATTTTCCATCCTTAGAAATTCGGTAGTCTTTGCTCCCACAAATTATGGTCGATTATTGCATATGATTTTATTTGGAACTCCAAATAGACAAATTATATTTCACTAAATGAAGCCTATAACTTCTTTTTCCTGTACCTGTTTGAGGGCACCTATTTCCATCCACTTAGAAAAATAATTAGTTAAAATTAATAAAAATCATACCTTTCTTGGTGCCTGCGGTAAAGGAGCTACGATAATCATTCATAAGCGGCCATGATGCGTTTACCGAATAAAGTAGCTCTGCCGATTGATGCATATTATTTGTATACCATTGACATTTAACACACCTTCTTATGAAATTTTCTATTTTATCTGATATTTTTGGCCAATGATAACCTACTCTTATCAGTGTTTTTACTAATGATCTTCCACCGGCGTAATTTCCATAGTGACGTTCATTTACCTCACGCATTACATACTCAGTTTGTGAGGGCCCAAGGCATCTAGATAGAGGTCCATTGAACATTTTCAATACAAATTTCTTTCTATCAAACAGTATCGGGTTGCTTGCACTCACAACCATTGAGATTGCTTTTTGTCCTCAGGTTGTATTCCATACTGTAAATAATTCACAAATTCATTTCTCCAATCCCAGGTTAAATTATTAAAATTTACCTCGTGCTTGGTTTGATTGAGTGCTGAATGAAATAAATGCACGACAATTGCATTTTAAGAATTTGCCACATTACTGATCTCAAATTTGCCAACGCACCTGCTTTCGCATTCTCTTCTCTTGGAAATTGAATGGCTTTCCACATTAAGAATTGATGCAACAAGTTTTATACCTTCTCTAAGTATTGCTGCATTGCCTCTCTAGCCACGTAGTTCCCTTGCATTTGATTAACCACAAGTTGGGAATCACTTTTGATTTCAATTTGTTCAATTCCCATCTCTTTTGCAAGCTCCAAACCTACAACCATTGCCTCATACTTGGCTTCATTATTAGTAATGGGGTAATATTTTATCGTTTGTCTAATAATTTTCCCTGAAGGTGATATTAAAACGACACCCAAACTCGCTCCCTTTATATTTGAGGATCCATCGGTGTATAGAGTCGAAGTCCCCAGATTAGATCTGGTAGATGCTCGTACCTCATTTTCATCTCTAGGAAGTAAAATTGAACTAAAATCTGCTAGTACCTGTGACTTTAAAGCAGTTCGTGGCTATTAAACAATATTATAGTCACAACAATTATTGAATGACATTGAAAATAAGGTCGTAATTTTCTTGATGCCATTATTAATGGCAGTGCTAATTATTTCAAATGTGGATGTCTTGTTTAAATTTCTAGTAATGCTTTAGTAACATAATATATAGGAGATTGCGTACCTTTTTCTTCTTGTACCAGTACTGCACTTACTGCAACTTCAGATACACCTAACTAAACAAGTAATATTTCTCCATCCCTTGGCTTCGATAACAAAGGCGGTTTTGTAAGATATGCTTTCAAATCTTTCAGTGCTTGTTGGCAGTTACCTGTCCACTCAAATTTATTTTGCTTTTTTAGCAACAAGAAAAATTGGAAGCATTTCTCTGAAGATTTAGATACAAATCTTCCCAAGGCTGCTATCCTCCCAGTTAACCTCAACAACTTATGATTTCATCCGATATTTCTTAAATTGCTTTAATTTGAGCTGTATTTAATTCAATCCCCCTGTTAGAAATAAGAAAACCTAAAAATCTACTTGATACCACTCCAAATGCGCATTATTCCGGGTTCAATTTATATACTTGTGAAGAATGGAAAAGGTTTCATCCAAATGCTTGAGATAATCTCCCACTTGTGTTGATTTCATCAATATGTCATCAATGTAGACCTCCATGGTTTTCCCAGATATTCTTGTAACATCTTAGTAACTAATATTTGATACGTAGCTCCAGCATTCTTTAGACCAAAAGGCATGACCTTATAATAATAACTCTCCCTGTATGTAATAAAAGAAGCCTTTTCCTCGTCTTTGGAATTCATTTTAATCTGATTATATCCAGAATAAGCATCTAAAAAACTCAAAAGTTTGTGTCCAGCAGTAAAATCAATTAGTTGATCTATATGTGGTAAAGGAAATAAATTTTTTGGTCATGTGGTAAAGTAAAATCAATTAGTTGATCTACACATACTCGCCATTTATCATTTTTTTCTTAGGTACTACAATAATATTTGCTAACTAGTCAGGGTATTTATCTCACGAATTGAACCAATTTTCAAGAGTTTACTTACCTCCTCCTAAATACTTGATTTTTGAATGCTCCTTGCTTTTTCTTCTTTTGTTCACCAGTGGGTGTAATGGATCTTCATTTAACATATGACTCATTACCTCCGGTGAAATTCCTGTCATGTCTAAATGCGACAAGGCAAAACAATCAGCATTAGTGCGTAAAAATTTAATTACCTTACTCTTCAACTCTGGGCTTAAGTTTATCCCGATATAAACTTTATCTCGGGCTGCTGAGTGAATAAGATTACAGCTTCGAGCTCTTCTGTAGTTGTTTTGGTAGTCTCATTCTCTTATGGTTCCCGGATAACATCAGGTCTCACATCCATATCTGTTTTGTCTCCCTTATCTGATGTTGAGGTAGAGAGCATATTTTCCTCAACTGAACGCTTTAATTGCTGTTTTTCTTCTACGTCTTTGATCGTCCCACTCACTACAGCCACCATATTAGTTTCTCATATTGCTCGTAATCTCCTCTAATCTGATGAATTCCTTATTATGACAGGAATTCGATCACCTGATGCAAAGTCGACGGTACGACACCCATATCATGAATCCATGGCCTCCCAAAAATTATGTTGTAAGCCATATCTTCATCCACCACTTGGAATTTGGTGTCTTTCACTACTCCTTTGGGAATGTGGACAACATAATTTCTCTCTTCATTATGACACTTGAATTTTCGAACCCAGATAAAGATCAAGCGTTGGGTATTACTCGATCAATTGCTTGCATTTCGTTGAATACTCCTAGTAATATAATATTCATTAAGCAACCCGGTTCAATAAAAACTCGTTCGATATTAATATCATGAACAAGTAAAGAAATTATCAATGCATCATTGTGAGGGATCAACAAGCTATCTACATCCTCATCATCGAATATTATGCTCCATCCTTCTAAAACTTGCCGAATTTGCTTCTCGTGGGTCAATTATATATTAACTATTCCTTTTGTTGCCGTGTATGTTACTCCATTAACCTCCTCACCCCCGGTTATTACATTCACCATCCTCTTTAGTGATAGGGGCTTTGGTGGCTCTTCCATGTTCCTCATATAAGACTGCTTACCTTTCTCACTAAATACATTAGTGAGATAACCTATTTTCAATAAGTAATCAACCTCCACTGGTAAGATCCTACAATCCGCCGTTCTGTGCCCGTGGTCATTATGAAATTCACACCAAAAATTCTGGCTTCTTTTACTAGGTCTGATCGTATTTCCTTGGGCCATCATATCTTATTTCCCATGCCTCTTAACACTGCTACTAACTCAGAAGTACTTACGTTGAAGTTTAAAATAACCTATTTTTGATCGAGAATTTTGGTCGTTATTCCTTGTCATATCCTTTTCCTTCCCAAATCAAAAAGAGGAACATGCTTCCTTCTGTCCTGATCTTTGATCAAACCATGCATGTTCCAATTTCAGCCTAAGATCTCGCTCTATTGGTCCCATATAAGGCACGTACCTATTTTCTCGGTCCTCCATTCTGGTTTTGATCGAACCGAACCTATCCTCCACCTTTGATTGGGATACCATATCTTCTTCTATTCGAAGTTTTGTGTTGTACCTGTTATAAACATCATTCCAAGTAGTTGCTGGTAAGTCTTGCAAACTCTCTTTCAATCTTTATATGGCTTCTGACCTTCTCTCATTCAGGTTGCTCGCAAATGCCATTGCCGTCCAATTATCAGGTACACAAGGTAACAACATCCTTTTTCGCTGGAAGCGATCTATGAATTCTCTAAGCAATTCTGTACTTCCTTGCATTACCTTGAAGATATCTTCCATTCTTTTTTCTGATTTTTGAGCTCTCGTGTCACGACCCAAAATCCATTATAGGCTGTGATGGCGCCTAACATTGCCGTCAGGTAAGCCAACAGTGAATTATCAACTTAATTACTCATTTTATTATTTTTGAAATCATAAAGCCCATTAAATAAAGAGAGTGAAATCATACTCGTGATTTTTATTTACCAATTTTCGGGTAAAATATAAATTACAAGGTAAAATGATAATAATTACGTGAACTACAAAAAAATGATCATCCACTAGGAACCCTAAAAACTAGGTATCACAAGTGCATGAACATCTACTAGAAGGTAAAATAATACTACAATATCTATCTAGAATACAAGTTAGATAGGAAAATGTGAATAATTCAGATGGAGACTCTGTATGCTGCAGATCGTAGTATGGGATGTAGCTTACCGTAAGTCCCTGCAATAGCTGCTCTTTTGCGCTTGAAAGACCACCAAATATATATATGCCTGCACAATAAGTGCAGAAGTGCAGCATGAGTACGTAAATCAATGTGTACCCAGTAAGTATGTAGCCAAACCTGGAGAAGTAGCGACGAGGGGACGACATCGACACTTACCAGTGGTCAAATAAATCAAGTGAAGTAAAAACTAGAAAGTAAACAAGTATGGGGCATGGTAAATAAATAGTATAAACAAATATAAGTACGTGGTACAATCCTACTCTGAAAGGTAAACACAAGCTCTCAAATATTAGTTACCTCCTCAACCAAAGTACATACGTAAAATGGTCCCCACCAGATAGGTCGTCACAACTCAAATCAGGAAAACTCAGGGATACGATGTCTTCTTGTCAAATATTACACACGACTCTGCTGAGGCGAACGAGCCTATCCCATAAGAGTGTTTCATGAAGTTGCCGAGGCAAATGGCCTGATCCCATAAGAGTATTGTATAGAAATACCAAGGCGAACGGCCCGATCCTATATGAATGTATTACTGCCGAGGCAAATGGCCCGATCCCGTAAGAGTGTGGTACTATCAAGACGTACGGCCCAATCCCCGAAGAATATGATACTGCCGAGGCGAATGGCCTGATCCTATAAGAATATGTTACAATAATCCTGCCGAGGCGAACAACCCGATCTCATAAGAGTGTGGTCTTGCCGATGCGAACATCCCAATACCATAAGAAAATGATACTGCCAAGGTGAACGGCCCGATCCCATTAGAATAAGAAGCTTTAACGGGCCCTTTCCCCAATCACGAATATACGTGTTAGTTATGAAAAATAAGGAAGTTTTTTGATGATAACGCACAACGCGGGAGAGATTCATAATGGGAGCACAATTTTTCCGCGGCTAAATAAAGTAGCTCGTCAAATCTCTACAATAGCATGTCTATCACTCTACACAAGCCTAGTCTCAGGTCGTAACACATAATAAAGGAATTCAACATGCATGGAAAACTCAAATAGTACAAATAAAGCATGGTATGAACCTAAGTCTACTCGAACAAATCAGGAATCCTTGCATACACATGGACACTCGTCACATCATACATGTGTAGCTCCCACAACATGTAGCACATAAGAATTTAACACTTACAGGTAACTTTCCCGTCACAAGGTTAGACAAGAGACTTACCTCATTCCGTAGTTCCATAACCGGCACCACTGCCTCTCTAATTCCTCGACTCAAAGCAAAACGATCTGAAATCAGTCAAACAACGTGCAAATAAATCAAAATATACTCCAATGCATACAATTTAACAAATTTATAATGATTCCCAACTCCGCTAGAAAAGTCAACCCTCGGGCCCACGTGCCCGAATTATAAAAATTATCAAAGCTAAATATTACCTATAACATTACGAACTGAAATATATAATTTATTCCTAGTTCCATTTCAAAATCGTGGTCAAAATCCAAAATTATCAGTTCCAGGTTTCCAACCAAAATATCACAATTTCCACAAATTTTCATCCTTCAATCCACATGTAAATCATATATTTAGCTTACAACAAGAGGGAAATTACTTACCTTGTATTGCATGATGAAAGCACTGACCGCTCCTGTGATCTTGCTTCTGCGGCGCACGATCGCACCTGCGGTCCAGCATCAAAGGCCCAGATTCCGCATTTGCGCTGCCTTCTCCACTTTAGCGGATATGCATAGACCAAGCTCTACACCTGCGACTCTTCCCCTGGCTGGCCTTCGTCGTTTCTGCGACGACCTCCCTCGCATCTGCATGTCCGCACCTGCAACCAAACCCACCGCAGGTGCGATGACACCAGACTTCAGTAGTGTTCAGTATTTCCTCAAATCCAAATTTCAATACGGTTTCAATCCGTTTATAACCCCGAGGCCCCCGGGACCCATCCAAACATATCGATACATCCTAAAACACGATACAGACTTAGTCGAAGCCTCAAACCACGTCAAACAATATCAAAATTATGAATTGACATTTGAAACCTTAACTACGTCAAACAATATCAAAATTATGAATTGACGGTTGAATCCTTTCTTTAAACTTTCAAACATTCAAACTTTGAGGAACGCGTCCGATTCATACTTAAACATTCCGGAATTACGCCAAACTTTACACACAAGTCATAAATCACAATACGAACCTATTCCAAGGTTCGGAACCCCGAACAGATATCGATAACACCAAAACTCACTTCAATCAAACTGAAGAAATTCATAAACTTTCAAACAAAGCGCCAACCCTCAATAATAAGCGTCGAAATGCTCGCGGACCACCCGACACTCAACCCGAACATACGCCCAAGTCCGAAATCATCATAGGAACCTATTGGAACCTTCAAATCCCGATTATGAGGTTGTTTATTCAAAGGTCAAACCTTGGTCAACTCTTTCAACTTAAAGCTTCTGAATTGAGAATTTTCCTTTCGAAACAACTCCGAACTTCCCGAAATTAAATTCCGACCATACGTACCCAAGAGTATTGTATTGACGAGGCGAATGAACCGATCCCAAAAGAATATGATACTTCCGAGGCGAACGGCCCGATCCCATAAGAGTATGGTACTGCCGAGGCGAACGGCCGGATCCCATAAGAATATGATATTGTCGAGGTGAACGGCCAGATCCTGTCAGAATAATAAGCTTTAACGAGTCCTTGACCCCACTTGCGAATATATGCGTGATTTATGAAATTTAAGAAAGCTTTTCGATGAAAACGCACAACGCGGGAGAAATTTGTACGGGAGCACAATTATTCCGAGAATAAATCAAGCAGCACATCAAATCTCTACAATAGCGGGTCTATCACTCTACGCAAGCCTAGTCTTAGGTCGTAATACGTAATAAAGGAATTCAATAGGCAAGGATAACTCAAATAGTACAATTAAAGCATAGCGTGAAACTAAATCTACCCGGACAAATCAGGAATCCTAGAAAATGCACGAACACTCGTCACCTCATACATGCATAGCTCCCACAATATGTAGCACATAAGAACTTAAGTCCTACGGGGTAATTTCCCCCTCACAAGGTTAGACAGGAGACTTACCTCATTTCTTAGTTCCATAACCGGCTCCTCTACCTCTCTAACTCCTCGACTCAAAGCCAACCGATCCGAACTAGTCAAACAACGTGCAAATAAATCAAAATATACTCCAATACTTACAATTTAACAAATTTATAATGATTCCCATCT